GCCATTTTGTCAGTGTCGGAGAACGCCTTTACAAATAGTTTCAGACAACTGTCACCGTCTATTCGTGAAAATGGGTCAACGAAGCCATGCTAGGGGACGATGTACAGTGTTGGCTGGTGAAAATATAATGTATCTTGATCGTTGTCAAGAACTATTCCAAAAATATGGTTTACAAAAAAAGATAAGATTCACTTTTTGTCTATGACAAACCAAAGTGAATTAATTCATAAATTGTTAAAATACATCATCAGTCGTTTTGTGGTAACTCCTATTGCATTAATACACAAATCAACATTGTTATGCAATTTAATACCTGCTCTACAAAAATGTTAGTAAGTTTCTGCCTCAAAGAAACTACACGGTCGTGTACATCACATATACAGATGCATCATTGACAAATGAATAATATAAAACTGTTATAAATCATCTGCTACATATAAAATCGACTTAATGTAAAAATTGTTGAGAAAGTTGGTCATAAATCGCATGGAACCGGGAAATAAGCATTCTTTCGTGTGAAACAGTGACGTATTTTGAGAAATTACATAGAGCACAATGTTAAAGAATTATTGTGTTTTTGCCACTTTTTAAAACCCAGATTTTCGAAATAATTGAGAACACCAAAAAGTACTTCATCGTTTACAGCCTACAGTATAAAATATGACATATCATCTCTGTCTTAGGAACCTCAGGTAAAGGCACTAGAATTTTGACAAGATGGCCACTATCCATAAAAATAATACAATCATAATTTCCTCGAAAATTAAGCTGGTGGCTTCAGTCAATATCCTTTATATTGCTCGAAAGTACAATTTATTGGAAAATAAATAAATTCTGTGTAATTGAAATCATGAGTAGGCTTCTACCTTAAACTAAATTGATTAGCTCGTTAAAATCAAGGATAAATTATAGTATGCGACCACGTACACTAGTTTTTGGGTATATTTGTTAATCTATGTATTATTCCTCTTACTGTAAACTATTTACCTAAGCTATATAAACTTTCAGATACTTTATTCTTAAAACTTATGACCAGATTTTTTTTTTTTTTAGTTGGTATTGTTAATCAAAAATGTATAGTCACCGAACTACATGAAGATAAAGTTTGTTGAGCTCGTTGTCATGATGAAAATATTGCATCAATTATGTTCGTGTACGAACAAATCATGTATAATATTGGTGGTTGTCACGCATCATTTTATAGCTCCACCTTATCTATCCGCCTTCATTACTATTTCATTTCCAGTTAGACAAACTCGTTCTTCATCCACTATACGGTTATTTGAACCCCGTTATAAACAAGAGTATTACGGAAAGAGGGCATTTTCGGTTGCTGCACCATAGCTCTAACGCACTTCCCAGATCCTTTTGCCTTGCACCTAATTTGTCTGCTTTTCTCAACTAAAAATGTTATCTTTACCATATAGTGTGTTTTTATCTGGTTTTAATGTAATCTTATTTTTCTGAATAATGTATTTCATAACTAGTTTATGTAAAGCGCATTGATATTATATGTTTTATCTAAATTAAAATTAAATTAAAATGTGTATTATAATAATAATCATTGAAATGTTCTAACGAACATTTTAGATAATTTTACGCTACAGGTTTGCTTTAGATGAGATTAATTGTCTGGTAGTAAATGTAGGAGTTATGTTTTTTGCATTGCACAAAATTGTAATATGCCCACGTTACAATTGTGAAATTTGTTAGATTTGTATTATGTTTCCATCTGTCGGGGATCACGTGAACATTGCTTTCAATGTTAAGAATGCGTATTGTGAGATGCTTCTGGCAATTACTATATTATTATTTCGATAAAAAATGAAAACTGCGTTCTATCGATGTGTAATATTATACTCAATGAAAAGCGGCCCCAACCAATTAATTCTGTGTGGACTAGATATCAACATTACAAGACTCTCATTGTACACTCTACCAATAAATGTTTACTTACGATCTTTGAGATGCATTTATAAGAAAAAGAAGAAAAGTTATTCAAGTTGTTTTAGGTCAATGTGATGGTCAATTGAATTTAACACGTATAGTAGAGAAGATATAACGTATCGACAATCTGAATGTGCACGTACCAAGTGATTTCAGTGAAATTTAGTAATTTTCTCAGATTTTCATTCGGGCGAGCAAGTTTGGTTATCATGATTATGTCACGTAAAATTTAATCACCCCGAGAAAACCGCACAGAGACTGCTGATATATGTCGACAAAAACATTTCCATATGTCGTACTTACGGCATCGTCATTCGGTCTTCGATTCTATGTGTCCTCTTATATTATCAAATATAAGCAGGTTCTTATACTACCAAAATTCATACACATACATGGTTCTTACTTTTTGTAATAATAATAATTATTAATAATTGGTCGTGTTAGATGACTACTTCTTGAAGCTATTCGTATCATCATAATTAATAATGAAATATGATATTTCCTTATTATTATCTAAAGAAGGTTCTTATACTACCGAAATTCATACACATACATGGTTCTTACTTTTTGTAATAATAATAATTATTAATAATTGGTCGTGTTAGATGACTACTTCTTGAAGCTATTCGTATCATCATAATTAATAATAATAATGAAATATATTTCCTTATCATTATCTAAAGAAGGTTCTTATACTACCGAAATTCATACACATACAAAGGTTCTTACTTTTTGTAATAATAATTATTAATAATTGGTGGTGTTAGATGACTACTTCTTGAAGCTATTCGTATCATCATAATTAATAATGAAATATGATATTTCCTTATTATTATCTAAAGAAGGTTCTTATACTACCGAAATTCATACACATACATGGTTCTTACTTTTTGTAATAATAATAATTATTAATAATTGGTCGTGTTAGATGATTACTTCTTGAAGATATTCGTGTCATAATTAATAATAATAATAACAATGAAATATGATATTTCCTTATTAATATATAAAGAAGGTTCTTATACTACCGAAATTTATACACGATATAAGGGTTATTTTTAGTAATAATAATGAATAATAATTGGTGTTATATGACTACTTCATCATAATTAATTATCAAATAGTGTATTTCATCATTATTATCAGGGGATGGTTATTAGTTATATTTGTAAATAATGCTTATATAATGTCGATTTTCTCGAGCTATTCAACAAGGCCATTAATCACTTAAGTCCCTGTATGTTATTTTTATTTTGAGAATTTTACACCTCATTTCCACATTTTGCACTCTATTTTCACACTTTGCACTACTTTTCCACAACTATGCACTTTAGTTTCACACTTTGCAACACTTTTCCTTAACTTTGCCCCTCAGATTCGCAATTTGCACCACTTTTCCACTACTTTGCACTCTATTTTCACACTTTGGCCTCTTTTCACAGAAAGTGTGAATAAAGTGTTTCGAAATAGCTTGATGTACAGGGAACTATCTTTGTGATTAATACGGTAATACATTATCCTATCAAACAAATATATTGCCAACACACATTTTTATTGTGCGATATATGTTATATATTGCTACTATAAGGATACAATTTAATTCAATTGTCTGTTTGATTTACATGGGCATGGTGCTAAATTGAAATTGAAGCATCACATTTATATTATGGAGAGGAGTCTATGATTAATTACAGTTATGTTCAGCCCAGAACTGTAAGGAATGTCATAACTATGAATAATTTAACATTTTCTTTTCAGTGATTGTTGTATGAACTTATGGGCGGTTTGTTTAAGGAATGGTAATCACTAGCTCATGGAATTTTGCATTTTTCTAATTATGTTAACAAGTTTGTTTTTTGCTGTTACAGTTCCTGAAATTAAATGAGAAAGAAAACATGTTTAAATTTTTAGTTTGTCTAGCATGAAAGAAGAGATTGCTTGTACAGTGGCGGCTCTGATAAATAGGAAACATAGCACATTGTGGGCCAGGGCCGCCACAAAATCATACTGAAACACAGCGACTTACATACAGAACAATAACAATTTCTATAATTTATATTATAAGACCCATTTATATAGCATGAATTGGCTAAATGTATCTGATTTCCAGGCAGCATTTAATGATTGTAAGGTACTTACAGATTTGCATAAAATAAAGTCTTGAAATATGAGGCCATAATCACAAGTCAACAGTTTAAGCAGTTTTATTAATAATAACAATTAACATTGGTACATGATGAGTGCTCTTACAAAAGGGTAATGAGTACCAAAGGGTGTAATCCAGTTATTGCAGAGGTATTGTACATTGCAGCAACACAATATGATGAGTTTATCATGGCTAGTTTTTATCTACAATAAATTAGTATTATGAGATCTGACCACCAGAACAATTCATTAATATGTTACTGTTATGAAGTCACAATGTTTCCAAGCACCAATGGCTTGTAATCATGCTTACTGATGGCTTTTAATTAACATTAGAATATATATATTCAAATATTCAAAGTAAACATTCAGTTGACTTGATTTAATAGTGTTATAACATTAAACAGCAGCAAATAACTCCCAAAAACTGAAATTTCATGATCTAAATCATTTCATGTGAAAATTATAAAAAAATACATTATATTATGCAATATAAAATGTAGTAATTTCAATTTGTCCGAATACAATAATTATGACTCAAGTGAAATCATCATGTTCGCATACATGTAATTAATTTCCAAACATAGTGTAACTATTACAACCTTGCCTATTCAAGAATAGATATTGCAGTGCGCAGTCCCTGTCAGCCATTTTTGACATAATCACAAAATCATTACACCTGTAACAGACTAAGTATACAAGATTTGAAGAGAATTGCTCAAGGTATGCCTGAGATACAGCTTTGAATGCATTCCCCGTTTTTGACTTAATAATGAATACAACATTAGGAAGAATACAAACTAGACTGTTTATCTGGCTGTGATAAAAATCAAATACATGCCATGGTATTTATATTCTAAAAATAATCTTGTGTAACTTTAATATTACATGTTATTGTACTACATCAAGGGCCCTCATACAAATAAAAACATGAACTGCAAACACTTTCCAAAATAATATTTAGCAATATATCTAATGATATTTAATGAAAACAACATATGGGGTTACTGCATATAAACAAACATTACGTGACCTAAATGTTTTCTGTACGGACTTGTTGAGAGAAGATTTGTGCACAAACATACAAAGCCACACCATCATACTGTACTAGTAGATTATCAATTTCTTCACTCTGGAATTAGATTGCTCTACCACTTGGCTATTCAAATGGCACCATTCTGAATACTCATCTAGGTTGTATGCCCTGGAGCAACCTGCAAATAAAAAAAAAATGGATTCATTTTTATTGATAATATTTCACAGCAAAGAAACTGTTGATATTTATACTACTGGTACTGAAGAATAAGCTGGAAAAAAACGATTAATCTTACCATTCATGTTACTATTTATTACTTACCAGTGTGATTCTTCCAATGAAGACGATCAACATAAAATCTAGTCTTCTGAATGAAACATAGATCTCTATTCAAGAAGTATGTATACAAATTGCAAGCATTGTCATAAATGACAACAGAAGGTGCTGTAATGATAAAATATACATGTTTATAGTAATAACAAGTCATGTCATGACACAGTCTCTGGTATTCAATAGTATACAACTTATATTTCTACTGAGAATCTATAAAATACTGGCTAAAATTTAATATATACATTCCAAGGGACTGAAAAGCACAAAAAAGCCGAAACATAATTCTATACAATATGCATGTTTCTAGAATTGAGTCAATGACATATTATATAAAATTTAAGTATAGATATATACAAAAAAACAAAAACAAATGACCAATATCTGATTGGGTAAAATAAAAGTTAATAATAGAATAAACTAGCAAATAAAATATATTACCTTTATATGTTGCAGTAACAAATGGTGGCAGAGCATCAATCAGTAACTTTCTGTCATTATCACATGAACATGTATACATTCAGTGACAAGTTCCAGCCAAATACATCCCTCTTCGATGAACAAAAATGTATTTGTCTATCTACAATAATCAGAATTAAAAGATGATTTAATACAAAAGCAGGTCTATTTGTGTAACATTGTAGTTTTATGAGCACAATTACAATATAATGTCCGAAAACTTTGAACTTAATAATTCTAAGCATGTGTGAGAAAAGGCTAGATATGGTTGGATACACACTCACGCACACCAAGGTCAATTCATAAGTCCTCATTTTTAGACTTTGTTCGAACAGGGAATAATAATTAGTAAAAGCAAATCACTTTCAGTTCCCTTTGTTTGTGGTTATAGTCCATCATTCCAAATACATTGTACTGAAGACTGCAGGCAAATACTGTTTTGCGGTCTTTAAGTTTCAATATAAGTTGGCATTGCAGGAGTGATTTCTTCACTGCATATAGGTTCAGGTGAAGATTCTGGTCTGACTCAATAACATCACTGTCTGTTCCAGATTTTGCACCATGTACAAAAGACTAAAAATCAACATAGAATATATTCTATGACACAAATACATAATATTATAACAATATTTATTTTAAAAAGGGCAATAACTTAGCAAACTCAATTTTCATACAATAATGGCTGTCATATTAGCTCTATTATTAGAAGCGCAACTCTAATAGAGGTGAACCTCTACTAAATCATTAAATTATTTCTTATTTTCACCATAAAAATGTAAATGTATAAGATACGGGTCAAACATTGACAAAAATATTTGATAGAATATTGTAAAACCAAAAAATAATTTATAATGTGTATTACCACTAAAAATGTTGTTATTCATGCATGAATATATATTAAAATACAACTAAAAGCCATCGAATCACTATATTCAAGAAGAAAATACTGTGCACATTTCAGCTTATCAGGACTAGAAAGATTTTCCTAAAGTTGTTAGATCTACTACGGTTTGCTGGCAATACAATTTTGAGACAGAAAATTGACAAAATTCACATCTACCTGGTTGCATGGTCGTTTTGCCCTAACTATTCTTGGCAAGTGACTGACATATTCTGCTTCGTCATGAATCTGAAGTTTTGATCTAGAACTTTAAACCAGATCACGCCATGCTCTTTTCATATTTCTGTAAGAAAGAAAGATTATATTTATATGGATTCGATCATGGATAACGGCACCTTGAAAGTTGTATCAATGCATCAAGAACCATTTCAAAAAAGTAAACACACCAAAGGGCAGACAGTGACCTTTAGTTAGCAATCATATGAAGAGGTCTCTTTCAATAACAAGGCTTTAAATTGAATTAATAATCATATAATTCCAAGAACCTTATATTGTGTGCCCCCCTGTTTTGCCAAAGTAATAAACTTTATTTTTCATGTACCTATCTGTGTTTGTGTCATAAATGGTACTTTAAGAACCTTTTTATTAAAATATGAAATACGACAGTAATATTATTAATATTTTAGAACGCATATGGAACTATTAAATTGATATGTGGGGTTACAACACTAAAATATGATTTAAATTGAATTAATGAGCATATAATTCCAAGAACCTTATATTTGGGACAATATATGGTAACTTAAGAACCTTGGTATTAAAATATGAAATATGACAGTAATATTATTAATATTATAGATTGTGTATATGGAACTATTAATTTGATATGTGGGATCACAAAACTAAAATATGATTTAAATTGAATTAATAAGCATAGAATTCCAAGAACCTTATATTTGGTACAATATAAGGTACCTTAAGAACCTTCATATTAAAATATGAAATATGACAGTAATATTATTAATATTACAGATTGTATATGGAACTATTAAATTGATATGTGGGGTTACAAAACTAAAATATGATTTAAATTGAATTAATAAGCATATAATTTCAAGAACCTTATATTTGGTACAATATAAGGTACCTTAAGAACCTTCATATTAAAATATGAAATATGACAATAATATTATTAATATTATAGACTGTATATAGAACTACGAAATTGATATGAGGAGTTACAAAACTAAAATATTATTTAAATTGAATTAATCAGCATAGAATTCCAAGAACCTGAAATTTGGTACAATATATGGTACTTTAAGAACCTTGATATTAAAATATGAAATATGACAGTAATATTATTAATATTATAGATTGTGTATATGGAACTATTAATTTGATATGTGGGATCACAAAACTAAAATATGATTTAAATTGAATTAATAAGCATAGAATTCCAAGAACCTTATATTTGGTACAATATATGGTACCTTAAGAACCTTGATATTAAAATATGAAATATGACACTAATATTATTGATATTATAGATTGTAGATGGAACTATTACATTGATATGTGGGGTTAAAAAACTAAAATATTATTTAAATTGAATTAATAAGCATAGAATGCCAAGAACCTTATATTTGGTACAATATATGGTACCTTAAGAACCTTGATATTAAAATATAAAATATGACAGTAATATTATTGATATTATAGATTGTATATGGAACTATTAATTTGATATGTGGGGTTACAAAACTAAAATATGATTTAAATTGAATTAATAAGCATAGAATGCCAAGAACCTTATATTTGGTACAATATATGGTACCTTAAGAACCTTGATATTAAAATATAAAATATGACAGTAATATTATTGATATTATAGATTGTATATGGAACTATTAATTTGATATGTGGGGTTACAAAACTAAAATATGATTTAAATTGAATTAATCAGCATAGAATTCCAAGAACCTTATATTTGGTACAATATATGGTACCTTAAGAACCTTGATATTAAAATATGAAATATGACAGTAATATTATTGATATTATAGATTGTAGATGGAACTATTATATTGATATGTGGGGTTAAAAAACTAAAATATTATTTAAATTGAATTAATAAGCATAGAATGCCAAGAACTTATATTTGGTACAATATAAGGTACCTTAAGAACCTTGATATTAAAATATAAAATATGACAGTAATATTATTGATATTATAGATTGTATATGGAACTATTAATTTGATATGTGGGGTTACAAAACTAAAATATTATTTAAATTGAATTAATCAGCATAGAATTCCAAGAACCTTATATTTGGTACAATATATGGTACCTTAAGAACCTTCATTTTGAAATATGAAATATGACAGTAATATTATTAATATTACAGATTGTATATGGAACTATTAAATTGATATGTGGGGTTACAAAACTAAAATATGATTTAAATTGAATTAATAAGCATATAATTTCAAGAACCTTATATTTGGTACAATATAAGGTACCTTAAGAACCTTCATATTAAAATATGAAATATGACAATAATATTATTAATATTATAGACTGTATATAGAACTACGAAATTGATATGAGGAGTTACAAAACTAAAATATTATTTAAATTGAATTAATAAGCATAGAATGCCAAGAACCTGAAATTTGGTACAATATATGGTACTTTAAGAACCTTGATATTAAAATATGAAATACGACAGTAATATTATTAATATTATAGATTGTGTATATGGAACTATTAATTTGATATGTGGGATCACAAAACTAAAATAATATTTAAATTGAATTAATAAGCATAGAATTCCAAGAACCTTATATTTGGTACAATATATGGTACTTTAAGAACCTTGATATTAAAATATGAAATATGACAGTAATATTATTAATATTATAGATTGTATATGGAACTATTAATTTGATATGTGGGGTTACAAAACTAAAATATGATTTAAATTGAATTAATAAGCATATAATTTCAAGAACCTTATATTTGGTACAATATAAGGTACCTTAAGAAACTTCATATTAAAATATGAAATATGACAATAATATTATTAATATTATAGACTGTATATAGAACTACGAAATTGATATGAGGAGTTACAAAACTAAAATATTATTTAAATTGAATTAATTAGCATAGAATTCCAAGAACCTGAAATTTGGTACAATATATGGTACTTTAAGAACCTTGATATTAAAATATGAAATACGACAGTAATATTATTAATATTATAGACTGTATATAGAACTACGAAATTGATATGAGGAGTTACAAAACTAAAATATTAGTTAAATTGAATTAATCAGCATAGAATTCCAAGAACCTTATATTTGGTACAATATATGGTACCTTAAGAACCTTCATTTTGAAATATGAAATATGACAGTAATATTATTAATATTATAGATTGTATATGGAACTATTAAATTGATATGTGGGGTTACAAAACAAAAATATTATTTAAATTGAATTAATGAGCACAGAATTCCAAGAACCTTATATTTGGGACAATATATGGTAACTTAAGAACCTTGGTATTAAAATATGAAATATGACAGTAATATTATTAATATTATAGATTGTGTATATGGAACTATTAAATTGATATGTGGGGTTACAAAACTAAAATATTATTTAAATTGAATTAATAAGCATATAATTCCAAGAACCTTATATTTGGTACAATATATGGTACCTTAAGAACCTTGATATTAAAATATGAAATATGACAGTAATATTATTGATATTATAGATTGTATATGGAACTATTAATTTGATATGTGGGGTTACAAAACTAAAATATTATTTAAATTGAATTAATGAGCACAGAATTCCAAGAACCTTATATTTGGGACAATATATGGTAACTTAAGAACCTTGGTATTAAAATATGAAATATGACAGTAATATTATTAATATTATAGATTGTGTATATGTAACTATTAAATTGATATGTGGGGTTACAAAACTAAAATATTATTTAAATTGAATTAATAAGCATAGAATTCCAAGAACCTTATATTTGATACAATATATGGTACTTTAAGAACCTTGATATTAAAATATGAAATTAGAGAATAATATTATTAATATTATAGATTGTATATAGATCTACGGAGTTGATATATGATCTTATGAGTAAATATGAATGAATCAATACCAGGCTTTTGATCGCGGAAACATAGAACCTTGATGCGTCAAGAACCTTTTGAAGAAAAAACACCAAAGGGTAGTCAGTGACCTT